TGCGTTACACACAACACACAATGTCGCATATGCTGTTTGTGTTGCAATTCGACTGAAGGCCGATGATTGCACAGCCGACCCGCTGGGTGCCACCGGGGCGAGTTTGTGGGTGTACAAGAACTACCCGGGGCTCTTCTACGGCGTACCATTCCTCAACTTCGTCGGCTGGGGCTGCATCTCTTTCCTCGTAACCGTGCTCTACCTCATCGTCGAGAAGTTCATCGGCACCAAGCCACTCATCGGTACTCTCGTCATCATCGTCGTCGTGTGCGGTCTGTGACTCATCACACACACACGCACACACACACGACACACACACACGACACACGACACACACCGCACACAGGCAACGGGCATAGGAACCCGCACCTCAACGTGCGCAAGTTCCTGCCGCTCAAGGTCGTGTTCCTGCCGCTCCTGGTCTACGTGGGGATGATGCTCCTCTACGTGGTCACCGCGCGGCCGGACGAGCTCAAGATCCTGGCCTTCTTCGTGATGGGCTTCCCGACCGTCGTCGCCGTCTTCCGGCTGTGCCACGTCCGCATCCAAGTCCGCTCCCTCAACGCCGACTACCACCTCGTCTTTGAGGAGTGACAATCTCCTCCCGCGACAGCGACAACACCCGTTCGCTGACATTCTCATCCACACCTGCGACACGACACGACACGCACGACACACGCGACACGCACGACACGACACGCGTGGTGCTGCGCACGTGTTGGAAACGGGAAAGGAAAAGAACGGCCAATTAGCAAAAAGAAATAAAATAAAATAATACATAACTGAACAGAAGAAGCGGAAGTGCGGAAGGCCACCGAAGCCGAGAAGGGGAGACCATGGAGGCCGAGGCACTGGCGACCAAGTCCTCGGTGCCGTACGTGCACCTGGTCGACGACGACGAGGCCGCGGGAGATGCAGGAGACGACCGACAAAATCTCCTGAATCGCCCCCATGCCGATCATGAACGCCAATTTAAGGAATTGGAGAAGCGGCAACAGGAGCTCTACATGCCCGGCTGGCGCGGGCACCTCCAGTACTACTCCCTTCCCCCCTCGGCAACTTCTCTGATTATTATTATTTTATTATTATTTTATTATTATTTTATTATTATTAATAATCCTCTTCCGCGTGTAGCCGGTCGCGTGGGCGGTTGCGGGTCATACTGGACTCGCTGCCGTGGCAGGCCGTCATCATCTTCATCATCTTGGTCGACGCCGTCTTCGCCATCATCGACATAACAGTGGACAGTACCGTTTTCACACTCCCCACACTGTGCTTTCTTCATCTCCAAAATTGACGTGTGCGCACGCATGTTGCGTTCTTCTTCATCATCATCGTCGTCGTCATCGTCATCAATGCAAATCAGATGCCGCTGCGCGGTACACTGCGTTGGGTTTCTCGTGCTTCGTCATCCTCGTTTTGCTCATCGAGGCGCTCGTTCGACTCTACGCCTGGGGAATCAAATCCTATTTCAGCGGTACTCACCGCACACACCGCACACACCGCACACATCGCACGCACTGCACACGTCGCACACATCGCACACATCGCACACGCGCGTTGTGTGAAGAAACAAATGATGAAGCCCGATGGCTTGCAACGATTATCTGAAACGCGATCTGATGGCCATCCAGATTGGCTGAACTGGTTGGACATTCTCATCATCATCGTCTCCATTGTCATCCTCATCGTGTTCTGGACTTCGGGCGGCTCATTCAGCGTCTATGGCCGCGTCATCACCGCGTGTACGTACCAAAGTCCTGTGTGCTTGGCGTGCAGCAGGTCACAGTGCACAGTGCACAGTGCACACAGCAGAGGAAGCCTGACGGGCGTGCGATTGATTTGTTAACGTTTTCAACGGTGGACGGTCGACACACACGCAGTGATTCGTCTGTCGCGTGTGCTGATCAACCTCTGGAAGCAGCGGAAGCGGCTGCAGGTGGCCGCTCGCCACATCGTGGGCGAGAACAAGCAGCGCTTCCAAGAGGACGGATTCGATCTCGATTTGGCCTACATCACTCGTACGTGTGAGCTCTTTCGCTTTCGCTCTCTCTCTCTCTCTCTCTCGGGTCCTAGCCTGCTGTCACTCGTTGACTCTATTGGACTCATTTTTTATTTAATTATTTATTTAATCCAACCAAAGCGCGCGTGATCGTGATGAGTGTGCCCGCCATCAAGCTCGAGGCTCTCTACCGAAACAACATCGACGACGTCGCACGCTTTTTCAAGGTCCGAGGGCTTGCCTGATGGTGGAATGGCGGTCCGCACTCGCTGCGCACCACTAACCAAGCGTTCATTATCATTATTTTCTTTACAGAAACGCCACCGCAATCACTTCAAGATCTTCAACATCTGCGAGGAGAGGGACTACAGCGCCCACTACCACAAGTTCGACCACCAGGTCATCCGGTACCAACTCCCTCGAACAAGTTACTATTATTCATTCATTTATTAACATTTCTATTTATTCATTTAAATTATAAATCCTAACAAATAATAACCACTGGTGCTGCATGCTTTCATGTGTTCAAGGTACCCCG